AATGGCCAGCCATAGATTAAGTTTATGAATTCAGTCCCTTAACTTGTTTAGAAAGGACTGGAAAAAATGTCAGGATTTTTCTCTATAATAGTACCTCTTTAATATAAAAGCCTACTACAAGTTATGAAAACACACACTGTGGACTGTACTGACATTCTGCTTGCTAGGTCTGTTTTTATGGGTGTGGTAGGGAGGGGCTGTGTGCAAAAAGAAGGCACTGGAATAATTTCCTGCATGGCTGACTATTTCCTATGTCTCCTAATTCAATGACACTCTTAAGTTCTGTCCAGAGGGCTTTGTTGAAGTCCTAAGACAACTACTTGAAAATCTATGGGTAGCAAATGTGACTCTTGAAGCTTTTTTAGCACTTGTTGACTAAGTACTTTTTCACTGCTTCTGAAATAATATAGCCCATGTTATGGATAACTTAAAGTTTCCAGAGTTCATGCATAAATTATTTTCAATAGCACAGAGTTACAAAGGATAGTGATAAGGTAAATATTACACTTTTGCAATTATTAATTTTGAAAAAGGGTTTATCCAGAGAGAGAAGGGAGGAATTCTTAAGGAAATGGATCACTTGGGACCACCTTTTCTTAAGCAAATGTCAGTGAAGGAAAAGGTTCGATGTCCAACCCTGGAAGAGAAGGGTCAACTTAGGTCTTGCACATACTACTGTAAAGCTGGAAACAGTCCAACCAAACCAAAGCACCTGATGGTAGGTACAGCAATGCCCAAATTTTTAATGGAATCATACATGCATACATGCAGCACCACCACAAATCAAAAAGTGTATCATGTTATGAAGCCGGTAGGTTTAATGCTACCTCAGAGTTTGTGATTTGGACACTACCTGCAGTGAAATCAAACCTCCAACTGATACAAAAGATCTATATCCTTTTGCAATAGTCTTTATCCATTTGCTTGAAGAATTCTTTCACACAAGTCTCTAGAAAAGGGAGCGAATACCTTATTCATATGTCACACTGTATCTTTAGCTAAAATGCTTACTGCTGGTGTATTCCTGCTTCATTTTGCATAAACTGACATCATATACTGAAAGAGAAAGAGGGCCAATGTGCCTCTCAGAAATCAAGTAGTCATGAGACTTTACCTGCCACTACAGATATGCACATACATACACATTTACACACATGCACACACACATACGCGCACACACACTCATGCAAAAAATAGGAAAAACGACTCAGCAATTGCAAGAGTCGCAATTTACCATGGAAGCCTCTACTTAATATTCCGCTTGATCTGCCAAGTTTATAGCCTGGCAAATCTGAATACAAATGTCGATGCAAATGAGGATTCATTATTCTTACATCGTCTTTGTGTTGAAGCTTAATGTAACTTGGTTCCTGTGGTTGCTCAGGGAATGTAGATTGCAAGACAGGAGGGAAAAAAAACCTCGACAGAAACCAGACAAGCAAACAGGGAAAAGAAAAGTAACAGAAATGGGAATAAATGAAAAAAAATATGCTAAGGTTTCAGACTAGCAAAACATCAAACTAGTGCATTACATTCTCCCCCTATTTTCTCATATAAGGTACATTTGCTTACCATTATCAGCATAGAAGGAGTTAACTAACCAAGACCATTCTCCACAGAGTCAAAACATAACAATCCTCCTTTTACTGATTATACAATATTGTGCCCATTGTAAAGTCAGTGCCCCATTTATCTGAAAATTTTAACATTCTTTTATAATAACAGAGCTCATCGGCTGGTAGAACCTGTACATTTAGATCTGTAAGAAGATTATAAATGAATTTAAAACCACCCCACCATTTCTGCTTCTTTCATTGCAAATTACTGCTGAATAATTCAGAAACACGTTAAGAAAACTACAGTTCGATTAATAAACTATACAATGAAAATCACAATAGTTTAAATCATACATTTATTGTCCCATTTATAGCCCATCACAAGCAAGGGTTGAAAAGCACCAAATTAGAGAAAACATGAAATGCTGCAAAATTATAATTAGATCCTCAGTGCCACAGTACATTGTTCTGATGAATCTTTTGTATGGCTAGCTTATTCTTACATATAAATACCTTCTCAGTAAATAAAAATGTACTGTAGGCTTGACTTTTAGAGAAGCTGTAAAGCTTAGCATATGCGATGATCCCAAAGTCAATGCTGTAAGGCTTGCTTCTTCATCCATAAATAAAGCACATTTGCATCCATTCAGTCAAATTAGCTCCATATAAAAAGGTGGTTATAATTAGCTCCTCTTTCAGGTTCACGGTTAAAACTCAAGCGTGCTTGCCGTCTTGATTAAATCCACCATCGTCTTCCAATAGCTAGTGCTAATTCTTCCAAGGAAATATTCAGTTGAGGTGTTATTTTATTCTGCACTGCTGTTAGTTGTCTAATTTACGCCAAGTCCCTGCAGTGCTTTCCTTAAGCCATCCTCTTTGTCTTGCCTTTGAAATTTACCAAATCTTACAAGAAATCAATACTTAATTGATTATTCACTTTTCTGCAGCTTCAAACAGCAAGCACGCATAAGATCCTGGAGTAGTCACCCGATTTCCAATGCAGGAGGTTGCTTGGTGGCAGGGATCTGCAAGTATCCAACAGCAGGCATTCCACAGAGCTGTGCAGTGGCGTACAGTGCCAGCATCCAATAAAGAAAACGAAGATACTCTAACGAAGCAGGAAAAGTTCCCATGTGAGACAGATCCATATCAATGCTTTAAATAAAAAGCGGAGGCACTGGCTTTCAGATAGAAGAGCACCATTCTCTTTGCAGCTATCCCTCTGTTTTTTGCTTACCCTTTTCTTCCTATGGCACTGAAGTGGAATATCCAAAGTGCCACCGAACTCACAGAACTCCACGCTGGAACGGGGGTGAGGCTTGTGTTGTACCTCTGGCATAGAATAAGGATGGTAAGCACGTAACATTACGAAATGTAGGACAAATTCAGGCGAGAGAGAGAGAGGGAGAGCAAGAGACAGATGGCGGATCTGGCTGGGAGCCAAAGCCAGTGAAATGAATTACATTGCTGAATAACTGTACACCATTGATTCTGCCACTTGTTGCTGCATGGCAAAAAAGGGCCCTGACGTTGGCAGGAATCTCCTCGCGTGTCACACATGCCACAGACAACTTTTCACATGTAACTCGCTGCACCGACACACACGCGCTATGGCAGGGAATGTCGTGTGTGTGTGTGTGTGTGTGTGTGTGTGTGTGTTTCTGTGTGTGTGTGTATGAAAGTGAGTGCGTGTGCATGAGGGAGAAGAAGAGAGAAAGCCAGAGTGCGTGTGGGGGGTGTGTGGGTATGTGCCTGCATGCGTGGTGTGTGTGCCTGTGCGCGCGCGCGCGCGTGGAGGGGAAAACAATCGCTGCAATCCAGCCATTTTGTTTAATGAAGAATGGAAGGCTGGCATTCAGAGACGTGGTTATGTGCCGCATATTAATGTGTGCTCTGTAGACATCCTCCCCCTTTTTAGATGAGTGGCACAGGAATGAAGCCCTCTATAGAGCAGCCACTGCGGGAGCAGGAGCTCGCAAGGTAACATATCATCGTGGAACCTACGGATGTGGCACCCGCCGCTCTGCAGAAGAACAAGTTGCTGTCTGACAAGGAGGAAAACCTGGTCCCACGGTTATGATATTTGGGTGCTTTGGAAAAGATAGCCGGAGTTGAAGCAGATTGTTCAATAAATGCTTCATACCCAGGATGAAGGGAGACATTATGGGATGCCCAGGGGGCTTTGGAAATCAAATACAATGTTTGAGTAGCACAATTTGAGGTACATTATAAAAAAGCAATTTGAATTGCCAATGAGGCGACACATATCTGCATGCTAATTAGACCTGTGTCAAGCTTAGTCTGCGGGGTTGTGTTGATGGCTAGGAATGCGCTTGTAACTCTGCTGAGAGATTGTTTCTGCATAAATTATCAGCTTTGTCCTACTGATCATTTTCTACAAACAAACATGAAATGTAAGATCAAAAGGCAATTCTGAAATTAAAATTATTGATTGATAAAGCCTAGATTTCAGAATCTAATTAGAGGAGGCACAAACAAAAGCTGATATTATTACAGATTGTGCCTGAGCTAGCAGCCAGATTGTGCAAGGCTTGTAATTTATCTTTGTTTATGCAGCCAGGATATTAAAAATGTAATTAAAATGGTAAAATGATCTGATCAGAAATAGCCACCTAGTGGCAAGTATATTATTTTAAATAGATTATAAAAACATTGATCTGCTCAAATAAAAGGTTTTTTTCATGACAAACATAGCGGCTCATTGAAACTTGCTGAGCAATTTGTCTTTTGCTAATAAGTTGTCTTTTGTGTTTTGTTCCATAGATAAGCAGCATCATTTATAACCCTCATTTGCACACTAATAAACATTCTGTTATTACAGGTGGTGTTGGGAGCATCTTTCATAAATTATGGCATATGAAAATGGAAGACACGAATAAACCCTTTTCTAGACATGCACTATATACATTTTGTAAAATTAGAATATTCATCTGACAGCAGCAGCAGAAGTTACTTATTAAGTCACTCTACAGCTCTATTTAAGCTGTGAAATGGTAGAAACACTATTGATATGTAGTTCAGCTTCTTGTCTATCGTGGTTACTTAAAAATGCTATACAAAACACAGAAGGCCTAATTTACTAAGTTTATGCAGATTCAATTACTAAATTTCATGGTAATAAAGACACCTTTGTGATATATATATTATTTTTTACCCTCATTTAGAAGCTTTCTGGAGTTTCCAAGTGGATTAAGTATTTTAATAACAGACTGTTTAATTGGACACAATACAGAAATTAGTTTTGAAATTTCTCTTCTGTCATGAGCTATGGACAGTAAAACAGCCAAAGAATTCTCTGTCATATATTAATGAAGCTAGATTGCAAAAAAAAAAACAGACTATAAACAGTTTCTCAAGAAAATATACCCAGAAGCTTGTAAGTTCATGAGCGGGGCTTAACTCATGTATTTCTTTTTGTTTCAGATTTCCACATGAAACCGCTATGGAAATACTCAATTCCTTTTAAAGAAATTCACAATTTAGGGTCCTGTCAGCAGCTCTGGGGTCTTTTGTTAGGTGCACTTAAAATGCCAGATTAAATATTAATATGTGGTTAGAGTTGTGCTATTTTGCAAGCCCTGAAACCCTATTAGTAAATCATGATCTAGTGACTGATGCAAGAAATTTCAAGGCACCAAGAGTGCAGATTGCCCATCAATCTGATGGATCACTAATTTTTAGTAAATCAGGCCCTTGGACTTTTCGCTGTAAGCAGATGTATGTTTCATTGTGACGGGAAAAGCAGTCCAACTAACAGAGCAATTTTCTGCACTGAATGTGTATCGTAACAGGCAGAGTTGTTTTGCATAATCAGTAAGTGATTTGAACACAAGTGTTCATTTAGCCGGCTCTGCATAACTGATGCCGTTCTTGAAAAAAACCCCACATTTTGAACTAGAAGAGAAATTTGTATTGTTTTCGTAGAGTAGTACTAGGATTTCAAAATGGATCCTCAATGTGGTAGAGCTCCAGAAAGATGCTGAAGAGGAATGCCCAGGGAGAAGTAGAGTGGAGTATTTCCAGCCAGCCTAAGGAGCTGCATCCCTTCAACAGGCTTCATCATTCACTGACAGTAAGTCATACATGCAAGGATGAGGAAATATCAGGAAGTATCCTGAAGGATCTTGCAGAAGAAAACGGAACCCAAAAGAAGGAATGGGAAACAATCTGGGTGAAAATACTGAAAATACTATCAGATAATAAGCTGCTGATATAGAGAAGACAGATCCTTCCTAACATATGGTACAGTTAGATAGATGGCTGAGTTCCAGCCTTCCCAACCTCTTCAGGAAAAAGAAACCACCTCTGAAACCAAATCACACAGTCTTTATTGGCAATCTTTATTTCATACAGATGTATCTTGACTTCTAGTTCCTTATAATATGGATTTAAACGTCTGACTTAGGTATTTGCTAATTATAAAAAGTTTCATGTGTGCAGATACTAGCATAACATATATTGCCTTCCAATTCATATCTGTCCTTTTTGCTTTCTTAGCTTCTCTCACTCTCACTTTTTAGCAGTCTGCTGACAGTGGTATGAAAATCAGCATTAGAAAGAGACCTCTTCACACCTCTTCTGCCAGTGCTGCTTGACTGACACTGAGAAGTACAGGTCTGAAAGACTGATAAGTCTTGCCTTTATCTGTATCTTTCTCAGGTCACCCTCTTCAAAACCCCTATACAGACTGCTTAAAAGAAACCCCCCTAATCTTAATCTAAAATAAAATTCAATTAATAAAGTCAAGTTTTATTCTTTAGCTGAAGTCACAACTATAAGCCTTTACAATCAATATATTGAAAGTACAACATATATGTTTTTAAAAATAATTACAGTGTAATTCAAGGCTTTCCCAGCATGATGAACAGCCTATGAAAAAGAGACAAGGTAGTACTATTTTTGCACCAGTTGGCCATTTTTACTGCTTTCAAATACTAATTTTTTTTTTCTATTTAAAGAAAGTGGTCCAAATCAATAGGCCTTCTAGTATTGACATTGTAAAGTAATATGCAGCAACACCAACCATCCTGAAACATTCCAGTGGGCTTTTAATGTGAGTGAGAGTCTGCTGGGAGCAGCCTCCCCAACTGAGGCTCGTGGAGGGTGTTCTAATTTCCACTAAGCTCTGATCAATGGGAATTTATTACCACTTAGACAAATAGAAAGCCAGACTCTGCAAAACTGAGCCACCTTAGATACATGGCCCACATCAGAAAGATACACGTATATTGAAAGTAAAGCAAAATAGTAAAATAATATGTGGATATCTTTTTTGACCTCCTTTTCCACAAAGCTAACGTTTTGCTACTACATCCTGTGAAAATACAAATGCTGACAGAAGAAAGCTTACATATACTTAATGGCCTTCCAGAGTAATGTATGTATTATTGTTTCTGGACTGTAGTTATTGTACTCTGTGTCATGCTCATATGTTTACCAAATGTCAGAAACCTCCTTTACAGGCTATTAATACTATTGTGGTCCCTCCAACATGCACACAAATACACCCACTCCTCTCACCACACACACTTTCTCACTGTCCATCAATATGTTGCAAAGTCTGTGTTTCATTACCATATCATATGGAGTATTGATTCTTGTTCCAAGCTAAATAATGTTGTTTTTTAAAAGATCTTTTAGCCTTTAAGTGGGGTTTGCTAACCGAACCACAGACTGGCAACAAAGATGTATTACAGTATTTGATACCATATATACTTTGGCAAACACCAAAACCAGTAACTTAGGCAGAAATTTCAATGCTTAATTCAAGTTTTACAAACAGGAAAATTGTGCACAAGATCCAGTTACATACATTCCATGTTTAAAAGGGAAACATTCCTAATAGACCTTTCAACATAATAAGATTCAGGCCTTAGCAGTAAAGAAAATGATTACCAGTTTTATTAGACTTCAACTAGTTTCCATACCAGATCTAAAAAGTCACCTTGCACCTATATAAAGAGGATTATTTATGTATTTATCTGTACATGTGTCCTCATCAGCCACTGTATACAATCATTTCACAGCATTCACATTCAGCACAAAAACATCAAGGCCTAAGTACAAATATTATTACTATAATGGGTTTTCATTTCTAGAGGTCATCAGGGGAAGGGATTAATTTTGCTTGCTTTATTGTACACACAGAACAGCACACAGGGTCATATTACAATGCCTTTATCTTGAAAATCACATTCAGCTGTAATGAGAAAAGCTCTTCTTAAAACAATTTTACAATTCTGGGTGTATTAGTTGTATTTTATTTCATTTCGATATTGCTTTCTTTTAGGCCCATTTATTTCAGATATCATTAATTGATTGTTAGTGATATTTACAATCATAATTTCAGGTCTCTTTTTTCATTGTTAAGAACACTTTGCTTTTCCTTTTTAAAATTTGGTAGCGATATGGAAACAGCTTGTATCTCTATGTTGCTGCAGACATTTTTTGAGAATTGTGTAGAAAACTTAAAATCCATTAACCATGACAAAAGTACTCCAAATAGATTGCATTTCCTTACAGTTTCTATATGTCATCAGAAAATAGTCTTTGGCCAATAATTTACAGACACAGCTTGCATTTTCCCCTTGCATCCTTGGAAAACATCTTGTTATGAGGTATTATTTAAATGAGACAACAGCATTCTTATCTATGCTGTACGAAACTGATATTCTGCTACACAAGGAACTTCATTTTTGCTCACATCAGACGATGTTGTAAAGCAGGCTTTGTATAGGCAAGGTCAAAGGTAGCAGGAAAGCGAACCCAAAAGGTTGTGTCACACAATGTCCACATATATACAGCTGCAAACAGTATCCATTTAATGCATATGAAATTAACAGTCACATTTTAGCCAGCAACAAATCATATATTTTTTTTTTTTAGTCCATTTTCAACCAGTTTCAAAGCTCTGTTAGTGAAAGTTCAACAGAAGGATGGTTGCAGATTCCCAGTAGGACAAGTCAACATAAGAAAAAGAGAAAATAAACTTTTAAATAAAATGTGGAAAAAACTGAGGTGAAAAACAGAACCAGAAACTGAATAGAACCATTGCAAATACTGGAGCTAAAATGAAGAAATGTTTAATGTCTATAGCATTTCCTATAAGCCTTACAGAGATTATTCATTTGCACAGGAAAAACTTGCCCTTCTTTTACTATAGCTGATAAAACCTAGATTTTGCTCAGGTTAGAAAACTTGTTTCCCCTAGGTCTCCTTGATAAGGATAAAAGAAGTAGAGTTTAGCCACTGGGAAAAAAGATTGACCAACCCGAAGAAGTTCCATGAATATTCTCAGTCTTAACATTAATATTCTTCTGATTTATTTTGTCTTGGCAAAGCAGCAATATCTGGAGACATCATGATTTCAGAGGCCAAGGCTATCCATAAACCTTACAAAAGCACTGGAGAAAAGCACAGAGCAATGACATTACAGGCAAGATAAAACACGTTTCCTTCCTAATGCACACTCTTTCTGGCTCTGCAGATTGGCGATGAATTCGTTCTCCCAGACACTGTCATTTTGGAGCACTGAAGACAGTTCTTGGCACTTGAGGAATACATGTGCAAGCATGCTGGCCACTGGAATTATGAGCACAACTGAAGGAATGATGTGTCCTTTCCCATTGTGGCAAAGATGTCTCAAGGACTCTATTGGCTCTTATGCATTGACACTATTTCTCACTCTGACAAAGATCCATCAAGCATAAATAATTTTTTGGCCACAATATAGCAAAATAAAAATCTTATTTCTATGTGAGACTACACATTGTATAAGAGACACACAGATATGTACCTCAGGGGTACCTGCTTTCAGTTGTAACTGTAGTTTATTCAGAACTTGCAGCTTACATACTTGTCTCAATGATTTTTAGAAAATATATATAATAAAAATTTGTTGTGGAGCGATATAGGTTTAAGACTTGTATGTTCCTGTGCAGAAGGAAAAGATAATAAATAATTGCATTCTGCATTCATATAAAACAATGTCAAAGGCCCAAATTCTGTCTAAACTCTCACAGACTTCCTGATATGAAAGTAAATTGTATTAACCCATTGTAAAAACTGTATGAACTGTACTTAACTTCTCCAAACAAACATATTTAGCATCAAGAGAAGAAACAAATACTGATAAACTAGAAATAATTAATAAATGAAACTTTTTTGCAGAATATACAATTTCTTTTGCTGGAGTGTTTATACACAATCACACACACATGCAAAGAGACAGCATCTATATGATCCTTACCTTTCCTGTTGCTTAAAATGTTCTTTAAAATTCAAGTATTTCTGAACAATCCATAATCAAAAACATTTAAGATGCTAGTTGAAACAGAAGAAGAAATACAATATAAGGAACTGAAGGAAGTCCAGAGGGTTTTTTTCTTTTAATATTTGTCTTTAAATATATTATTTTTCCAAGCCAAGGGGATTAGATTCCAGTCTTCTGCACACTGAAAAGAGCCACTTCAAATTTAAAAGATCTGATCCCATTTGACTCTCTGGGTACCCTGGCACCTGTCCTCAGCATCACAGTGAGATCCCAGACACCATCACGCCAACTCACAGAAGACAACTCCTACAGGCTGGAGGCTACCTGTTCCCCAGTTGTTGATTCTTTTAAGCCAGGACCTTACTCTTCCCGCTCCAGATGGTTATTGTTCTTGGATGAGTTGAATTGTGCACTTTGTTAAGTAGGAACTCTACACTTACTGGGACTGGAAGTGACATTTTAACGAAAAATGTTTTTATGATCAAAATAAGCTCCTGACCAGTTCTATTAAAACGCAGTCTTACGCAAGGAAGTCAATACAATGCAAGGCTGTGAGAATACACAAAGACCCAACAACCCCCAGACTTGCTGGTTTAGACTTCATTGTGATTACTCAGGAAGAGACATGAAGGCCAGCTGACACAATCCCACACTTACTACTAAACTCTTTCACCTTCCAGAACATGGAGGCTGCACTCAAAGTGTCTGTTCAAGATTTTCTATTGCTCACATTAACTCCTGAGCTACTAGGAATAAGCCAGCCAAAGACTAGCTGGCACAGGCCCAAGTTATGCTGAGGAACACACTAACACTTGAACAGTAGAAAGAGTAGTATTCCAGAGATGAGGAATATTCCGAGTCTTAGTTTAATTTTAGGCTATACATTTAGCCTGTAAGTCTTTCCATTAATGAAAATGAGCTTTGCACTAGGTCCTTAGAGGGCCAGTGACATTTGAAGGATGGGAGAGGGATACAATCAATTTAAATATGCATTTGCAAATTTACAAAATATTATAAACATGTAAGGTAGTTCATCTATCTTCATCAGGCTCTAAAGCTGTAAATACCAGATGTCATTTATAGATTAAATGATTTTCCTAAATCTAATTTTATATTAATACAAACCATTTGTCAATTCAACATAAAGGCTTCTATTTTAAACATTCAAAAGTCATGGAATGCAAATGTTAGGGTTATCCCAGTGATTCATTGCACAAAACATAAATTAAGGTATAAACTGAAGAGAAAAAATAGTTTGCCTGAGAGGTGTTGAAGCAGATCTGTTACTGACCTGCTCATGGCATTTTCACCTCTGCTTATTTTTTAAGATTTGTCCTTCTGGGGAAAAACCTCTCAAAACTCCTGTTTCAATAGCCTGATTTCCTATAGATGCAAAAATTTAACTGACGGTAAACAAAAATTCAGTATGCGTGAGGCAGCTTTGACATGTGAATTCATAAGAAAAAGAAATCTGCAATTTTAGAGGGACATTTTCTCTTCCTGCTTACCTTCAATAGTGATAATTTCAAAATCATAGAATGGTTAAACACTATATGCCTTTATCTTCATTATCACTTACAGCCCAATCCTTTCAAAAGATCTTCAAAGTAATTGGCCAAGATAATGGGTGTGTCAACAAGTATTTAAAGAAATTGAAGGAAAATGTATCATCTTTAGATAAAAAGAAAGTCTTAAAAAGTAGTAAACACTTGGCTGATTCATTTTTCACCATGCTACAAGAGGATAAGATATCATAGAAGGTAATATTATCAAAACAAATTCGAACTCTTGTATTTGATGCTACTGTTTTCAAACTTTATAATGTCATTAAGCCATTTGACTTTAATAAAATGTGCAAATCTAAAAATATAACTGTTTAAGAGCAGGGTTTTGGCAACATTTATGTCTCAGAATCCCTAATTTTGAGGTCCCGAAGGAATTGTCAATACAACTAGCAATTAAAAAGGAATAACTCAGTTCAAAGTGACCTTTGTCATGTCCAGTCTGCATATTTGGAGTTTGACTAAGACAACTGAATTGTTAGGCAAAAAGCAACCAAGGACATCTCTGTCTCTGCCCCTGAGGCCATCGTGGGTAGTCAGCTCCATAGAGTTAAATACAGGAACCCTCTTGACTACCAGGATTTTCCCTCTTTGCTAGTCAGCATCAGCACTACAAGAACTCACTCCTCTTGAGAATGAGTTCTGACTTTGAAACCAGCCTAAAATAATTTCTTTTTTTTTAATTTTAAGATGAAGGAGTTATATGATTATCTATTTATGAATACAGGCTCGATACATGCAGAGAGCAATGCCAGTAACACTCTCTCTACATAGAATTCTTCTGTTTTAGTATGCAGTGGCAGAAGAGTTCTATTATAGCAGCTCCTTGACTTAAGTAAGCTATTCCAGTGAACAGAATCCCTATTTTCTCAAGTTTGCCAACTTAGTTATGACAGAAGAAGGAACACAATACAGGTAAATGTAAAGTGAAGACAGGACAAAAGGCAGAACCGACAACAGAGGAACCCTCATAAACATCCACGAGAGAGACCCTCTGAGCTAAGCTTTGACTGCAATAGAGCTGGAGTTATGAACAAATTATGCATTTCTTAGTTTCGTGTGTACATGGAAACATATTTTTAACATTTACATTACTTGATGACAGGTATCAAACTGTCACTGAAATTTGGAGCTAAAACTCTTGTTTATTCTTACTGAGGCTGTAGTTTGAAGAGATAATTTTGTCTACTTTCTGATAAATATGATAAGCATTATTTCTCAAAAGAAATTCATATTGCTTCCTTTTTAGTATTAGCATATTCCAACATTTGGAGTACTTACAGAGGGCTTACATGTCAGTAATGCATGCGTCCAAGACATAGGTTATTCTGTTTATTTTTTAAAATATGAAGCAAAGCATAACCAGATTTTCATGGCATAGATGTTTATCATGTGGGATTTCTCCACAGATCATGAAATGTAAAAATCCCCCCAACCAAAACCTCAACATATAAGCAAGAGACTGGAGAGGCATCTGAATATTTCTGCCTTGAAGAAGGAATATGTTGTATCACATACCCTCATATATGATCTATTTACTGTGTATGAAAACTCTTTGATTTTTAAAATATCTATATTAAAATATAAAAAATTTTACATACGAGAGGAGATTCCAGTTTGAAATGAAGGTCTAAACCAGCACCTGCTTTAAAGAATTATATAAATACCTTTATATTTTCATTCATTAAAGTATCAGAACAGGAGATAATAAAATCTCATTAATGTACAATGCTTCATATTGCATCTCAAATGACTTTCACAGCAAGAAACTTGCCCTGCTCCTATCCAAGCATATATGATAATACTAAGTAGAAGGACGTACAAAATCAAATAGTTTCTACCACATCATTACATAATTTATTCTCAGATATACCTTGAGAATTATTTTAAATATTCAATTAAGTTGCATTTGAATTTTGCCAAAGATTATTTCAGTTCTTATCACCTTTGGATGCCTGTTCAAAATGCTTACTGCTAAGGCATTAAATGCATCCTCCTGTATTGTCACACTGACTGTAGGGTAAATGAGTCTATGATGATTTCTCCCTCCAAGGCTCAGAATACTAAATTAAAATCTAAAAGAAACAACAACATTGTTTTCATATAACCAGGGGCCTCTCCAAACATAAAATACATTTGCATAGTTCCAGACTCACTGAGGAGGAAGTAAGTTGACTTATTCACATAAAAGCTGCAGTGATGTGTTCTTATACTCTGTCAAGCTACAAATCTGAAATTTGCCTAAAGGCAAATTGAATTTTTTTCTATCCATAGCAATAATATAAAACAAATCTACATAGCTCTTTATCGATATCACAGTCTGTTTGTCTTCTAAATTTAAACAACCTTTAATCTGACAGCACGTTGCAAATTTTTTGTTTCTTCCTTCATCTATTGCTTAAGTACAATATATTTTGTGGAGTTCTTACCTTTTAAAGTGATACCTGCTTCCAATTAACAGCATTTCAACACAAAATTCCTCAAGAGTAACTAGACAGTGTTGATCCAACCCTTAAGTCATGACTTAAGTATTTCAGTGAAGGGCTTTCTTTTTTTTTTTGACTAAGGACTGCAAATTGTTTTGGGTTCTTTTGGAAATATTAATAGCAGCAGTTTTTCTTGTTCATTAGAAAATGCTTTCTTTTTAAAGTTTCCTCCATAAATTATCTGAATCCTTCTCTACCATGGCCAATGAATTAGAACCATATTGTAGCATTGCATCATCGATATAGCTGTAAAATAGATTTAATACAATCAAGAATAAATCATTGACAAATAAATTCAATAAACATGGTCTGAAGACTGAGTCTTGGCAGACATCACAGTCCATTTCAGCCAAGCCAGATTCCTTGCCCTGTACAAGAAATCTGTGTGCTCTTCTTGTTAAACAGTCATGAATCTGAGTTAAGTGACTTATCCTCAAGAGCATCATAGTATTATCTCCTCTAATCAGCATTCTAGAGTCAATCAAATCAAATGCTTCTGTGAAAATTACAAAATACAGTGCCAATTCTTTGATTCCATCCAATGCTTGGTCACTGGCAATACTCCTATTAAAATGCCAGATGCCAAAAAATATTCTTGGCATGGTCAGGAAAAAATGAAAGTCACAGATCTGAAGACTTGGATTGAAATGCTGCCAATTAGAGGGACAGGAAGAGAAAAAGCCAAGATATTTTTATTCTCTTACCTATTGAGAACTAACTAAAATTAACTGAAATTACTGAAAATCAGCTCAGACATGGCCTTCTGGGATTTGATTGCAACATTAGGCATCACCCTTTCATTAAGGTGAAATTCTTCACATTGACCCTTACTTTGACACAGGTAAAACGAGTT